GGGAAACTCCATTGTCTTTGGAAGATCTGTCCATTTTTTTTTTCTCTGTAAAGTGGGTATCTTTTTTTTTTTTTTTTAAAGATTTTATTTATTTATTTGAGAGAGAGACAGTGAGAGAGAGCATGAGAGGTGAGAAGGTCAGAGGGAGAAGCAGACTTACCGCGGAGCTGGGACCCCGATGCGGGACTCTATCCTGGGACTCCAGGATCATGACCTGAGCCAAAGGCAGTTGCTCAACTAACTGAGCCACCCAGGTGCCCCTAAAGTGGGTATCTTAATCAGAAACTCTAATATGTAAAGTACCATGGTTGTGACTAATGCATGGATTAGGAAGCTGGTGGAAGCATGGGGGAAGGGAGTAGAGGAAGCACAACACAATCCGTAATCACCGTTTCAGTGAACATAAAGTTCTGCTTCATTCAAGATTGAAGAAGCATAATTATCTTGTCACTTGGTGGCTGGCTAATGCTCCCAAGAATGGCACCATATCCCATATTAGCTTTTGGTTGCTTTTGCTACAAATTGGTATATGGCAGTGCCAGTAATCTCGATAGTCTCAGTAAGGGGAAATTGGTGAGCCTGTATGTGGCTTTTATTCCTATACCATAGGTAGTCTACTGTTACCAAACAAGTGCTGTACGAGTTGGGGCAAGGGACAGGCTGACATATGCAGAACGAAATACAGGAAGAGATACACCAACAGGATAATACAACACCTAATCCATCTAGTAGGCAACTCAAGGCACTTGGTTATCTAGTACACACCACTGTTTCCTTTTTATACAGGCCTCAGTAGCAAGACTAGAACTGTTCCTCAAAATGGTAACATTGGTTGCAGAGGGCATGATCTTGCTTCAGGATTCTAAAGGACCCCTCTGTGTTTTCCTGTTGGGACATGGAACTCGTTTTGTAGAGTATCCTGCTATTAACATGGGCACTGAAGTTGCCATTAGATCACCTGAGCAATTAAAACCAAATATAGAGCTACTCCTGCCCCGACTTGAGCTAGCTAGCAGGATAGTCTTTTCTTTGGAGGAGTTAAAGCCAGAGCTGGCAACCTTTTGGGGCATTCAGTAAAATGGGAGCAGCGTGAAGTCTCATGAAGCACTGTTCCCCAATTGTATTTGAGACTGCAGAGAAAGCAGTTCGTCATTTACTTTGCAGAGGTATGTCAACATTCCATACAGATTAATGGACTAGGAGGAGACAGGACCCTATATTTTCATGGAATTTATCTTCTACTTGCTGTCGTGCTTAACATCCTTCCTAGGCACCTAAAAGTTTATGGTCACTTCTTGCTTTTCAGGTCCTTAAAAGCAAATAGAAACAGTGCATTGGACTACTGTAGTGTTCTGTAGGAGGAGATAATCAGTATCTTTGAAAACTAAATTGGAGTACAGAGGCAAAGAGTTTATGTAACCCTGAGATAGACTGTGAAGTCTCACTACTGTTCCACCCAGCTGAATGTGACCCCTTGCCATGTTCTCTGTTTTTAAGTTATGTTTACCAAACCGGCAGGCATATACAAGGTGCTGGAGATTGTGATGGTCTGTTCTAGAAACAGATCAGATTTTGGAGATCATTGCAATTGGAGTTAATCTGAATAAGCTTCTGCTAAGCCTTCTTGACTATTTGCATTTCCAGGTGGAGCAGTTAATGAGAATAGCTCAGCTTGTGGTAGCATTTCTGAGCATATCCGTAGGATGCTGCCCTTGGTTTTACTCAGTGAGACTGCAGAGCCCCTGTGGCTTCTGATTGCTTCTTCCCCATAAGAGCCTTCACTCAGGGAGTAAGGATGAGAACTGGACTTGCTGAGTATGTCTGTTAAAAATGCTGGGGAGAGGACCACTTGATAGATTTTAGGTTCCCACTGGGCCTGTCGGAAGCAGTTCTATATAATTCCTTTTAATACCTGAACAATTTTATGTAGCATTCATAGGTTAGAGTTGATTCTGCTTTTTAAGATCACTAGGCTTGTTGATCTTTTTTTTGCTATTCATTTATTCAGTGAATAATATTGAAGCCCCTCTTCTCGGCCCATTTTTGTACTGGCTTGTCTGACCTTTCTGTTATTTCTAGTTCTTCATATGTTACGGATATTGCTTCTTCCTGGTTTGTCTCTACCTTTTTTTTTTAAGGTTTGTTTGTTTTTTTTTTTAAAGATTTTATTTATTTATTTGACAGACAGAGATCACAAGTAGGCAGAGAGGCAGGCAGAGAGAGAGAAAGGAGGAAGCAGGCTCCCTGCTGAGCAGAGGGCCCCATGTGGGGCTCGATCCCAGGAATCTGGGATCATGACCCAAACCAAAGGCAGAGGCTTTAACCCACTGAGCCATCCAGGCGCCCCTGTTTTTAAGGTTTTTGATGGTAATTGTATCTTTACTTGCTTATTTCTCTTAAGTTGTACCATTCCGTTACGTGGAAAGTTATCAGTGAAGTTGAATTTCTCATATGTTTATTTGCTTGTTATAAATTTCATGATGACATCTTTTATCCTTTTTGCACTGGACTATTTTTCTGTTATTGATTTGTAGGAGTTTTCTTTTTCCTATATTTAGGGATATTAAGCCCTTTGCTCATCATATGCTGCAGATGTTTTCACACACACACACACACACACACACACACACACACACTATTTATATATATATATATCTGTAATACGGATACACATTTGCATGTAGCATTAAAAAATTATTTGTGTTGCCAGGTTTAACATATTTTCTTCCATGGCTTTTAGTTTTATATCATGCTTAGATAATATTTTATCCCTTACTTCAAGATCATAAAAAGATCATAATGATAAATTTGTGTTTATTATTTCATGTAGCAGTTTAATGGTTTCAACTTTTAATATTTAACTAAATAATTTCTGATTTATTTTGTTGTATGAGGTATGGTAGTTTTCTGTTTCAATCCTAAGTGGTTAGTCATTTTCCTGATGTCATTTATTGAATTAAGCTGTTTTTTCTCAACTTAATACAACTTTTTTCAATGACAAGAACCCTCTAGAGATGAGATAAATGCTCACACTACAGACAAAAATAAATCTTATCAACTTATTTTTGAAAATAAAAGCTTTAAACTCCTATAAGGCAGTCCAGAAAAGCCTGTTGAGATTCAGAAGGAAATACGTAACTCACGGCAAGTAGCCCATAAGTTAAACACAGCAAACAACATTGCTCTGCCCTGCAAAAGAAAAATCTACTACCTCCCCCCAAAAAGGCAAAAAGAAATTCTGTTGAAACTAGCCAAATGGTTAACAGTTGCTCTATGCTATATGATTCCTTTCCAGTATTTTTATTTTTCAGCTTCGACCTGAAAGCAGTGTCATTACATCATCCTCGGTGAACAAAGTTATCCTGCATTTGGGATACAGTCATTCCCTTGATCCCGTAAATAAGTAATGACTATTTAAAAACATTTAAGCTGTATAAATAAACCACTCATTTAAAATAAAAAGATTGGTGAGTCAGATCATTTTTCTCTAGTTCTTGGAAATGTGCATATTCTTTACTTTGGAGGTGGATTTTCAGCTTCTACTTGACATTTTATTTGTCTGCACACATGTATATAGCTACAGGACCTCCCCATTTGTGAGGAATAACCTTTTTATAAAAATTGCAGTGTTTATAGAGTTTGGATTGTGAGCTTAGCCTGAATTTTAACTCTTAACTTTTAATTTTAAATATTTAGTACCTACAGAAAAGTGTAGTGCAGTGAACTTTCTGTATGACCTTCACCTGGCTCACCAGTTGTTGACATTTTCCATTTTTGTTTTGTATCTCTCTCCAAATTCAAATTTCAAAATCAAATTCAAGCATCTTCAGTAGCCCCACATTTGTTTTTTAGCGTTTCTTTTCCTTCTGATTTAGAATCCAATCCAAAACCCTATATTGCTTTTGGGTATTTTAGTAATTTGGATGGTTTAGTTCTTTAATTTGGAAAGCTCCCCTGCCTTGTCTTTTTTTTTCCTCTTTCATGGCATTGATGTTTTTAAAAGCCCAGACCTGTTGTTTTGTACATTATCCTGCAATCTAGATTGGTCTGTTTTTTGTCCCCTTGTGATTAGATTAAACATTTTGGTTAAACATTTTGGTAAAAAAAAAAAAAAAAAATATGTAGATCATATTGTGACTTTCTCATTGCATCATCTCAGGAAGCTCGTCATTCCAATTTGTCTCCTTGGTGTTCCTAAATTTGATTATTTGTTCTGGGACTCCTGGGTGCCTCAGTCAGTTAAACGCAGGACTCTTGACTTGAGCTCAGGTCATGATCTCAGGGTTGTGAGATCAAGCCCTGAGTCAGTCTCTATGCTGGGCATGGAACCTGCTTAAAATTCTCTCTCTCCTTCTCCCCCCACGCACATTCACAAACACACTCCCTCTTTCCTTCTCTCTCTAGAATTAAAAACAAAAAAAATTTGATCATTTGTGGCTTTTTTTAAAGATTTATTTTATTTTATTTATTTTAGAGAGAGTGAGCAAACACCTGCACACATGGGGAGGGGCAGAAGGATAGAACAGACTCTACACTAAGCAGGGAGCCCAAGTCTGGTCTCCATCTTACGACCCTGAGGTCATGTCCTGAGCTGAAATCAAGAGTCTGATCTTTCATTCACTTTGTAATCCACTGACTTATGTAACTGTTACAATTATTTTCCTCACAGTTTTTAGGCCAGTAGTTAAGTGAAGGTTCATGTGCCATTGTTGTAAATGTTCTGAGGAGCTAGGGAGGAAAATAACATTTTTGGATCATGAATGCAGTTTCACCTGTTTACAACCCCACACAATTTCCTCTTGAAAATTAAGTCATCATTGTAACTGGGATTTAAAGAAACCACTTAATCTTCATTTTTTTCTCAATTAACATTTTCTATATTCATCTCTTTGTTCTTTTTTCTTTTTCTAATTGTCCAATTGCCTGTATTAATTTCTGACTTTAATTTCTGTTGCCCTAACATTTATAACAATTACATATTTATCTTTTCATCATAATAGCTGCGGAAATACAGAGGAGTCTGAATCAACTTGGAACACCTCAAGATTCACCTGAATTGAGGCAACAGCTGTAAGTGTTTAATAATTAAAAAAAAAAAAAAGAAAAAAATCACTGTTATGTTGCTTTGATGGTCTATAGTGTTATGTTTACTGGAAAAACAATGGAAAGTTAATAAGATTTTTCAGCTCCTTTATTTGTACCAACATTTTGTGTATGTATTTCCCTATTCCGGGTAGGCAGGTTATTTTTCTTTATTTTAAAAAGCTGGCTCACTAGCAAAGCAGGACTTTGTTAGTTGCCTTTTTTATACTTAATTGAATAGGTTGTTTTGATGATTTTGGAAAAATGCTATTCTAAGCCTCTCTATGTGATTTTTTTTTCCCATAACTAACAGTTGCTTCAGTGACTAGATTTTTATTTGGTTTAGATCTAGGACATTTTCAGTATGAATGGCTATCCGTAAAAAATTTATACCTAAATCCTTGAATTTCAGAAAGGATTAGCCTTTGTTTAAGAAAAAAGAAAGGTTTTAGTGAAGTTATATATGCAGTACATGTTTCAGGAAAATAATATGCTGTTAGAAGAACAGCAGTCATACTTTGTGGTGTAACAGATTTTACAGTGTTTTTAAACATTTTTTCATCTGAATCTTTCTCATCTAGAGTAAAAGACATAGATCAAAACAATTATTTTCGGGGTGCTGGACTAGCTCAGTCTTCAAGCATCTGTCTTCGGCTCAGGTTATGATCTCAGGGTCCTGGGATGGAGCCCTCCCTGTATTAGGCTCCCTGCTCAGCGGTAGTCTGCTTCTCCCTCTGCTTCTCCCTGTGTGATCTCTCTTGCACTCGCTCTCAAATAAGCAACTAAAAATTGTTAAAAAAAAAAATTTTTTTTTTTTATTTTGTTCAAAAGGAAAGTATTTCTCATGGGGGTGTGATAATTTGCCTAACATCATTGTGAACCTGAATCTTAAATCATAATTCAGTGCCATTACAGCCATATTTCAAGTAATATATATATATGTAGTAAGTGATATTCCAAACAACATTAGCTATATAAGGAAAAAATTACAAAGAGAAAGGAATTAAAAGATAGGTGATGGGAATTCATGTTTTTTATGAAGTACATTTTGAAGAATTTATAGTTCTGTCTAATTTATACTTTTACTGCAGTGAGAGATATTGGGATGGTAAAAATGCCACAAGTCTAAATAATAAATCAGCATTTGTTAAACTAAAATGGAATAGAGGGGCACCTTGGTGGCTCAGTCAGTTAAGCGTCTTACTCTTGATTTCGGTGCAGTTCATGATCTCAGGGTGGTGAGATCAAGCCCCATGTCAGGCTCCCCACTCAGTATGGAGTCAGCTTACTTTCCCCTCTGTTGTTCCACCCCCCTACCCCCCACCTTATGCACACTTTCTCTCTCTCAAATAAATCTTAAAAAAAAAAAAAAAACTAAAGTGGAATAGAAACACGTAATTCTTAATAGATAAAATAGTTTGCTAAGGTTGATAGTGGAGATTGTGAGTAGGTAGATATCAGTAAGTCTTCTTTTCAGAAATTTAGCTGTCTTACATTTTCTAAAGATTTTAAAAGGCATATTAAAGGTAAGGTAGGCAGAAAATAGATAAAAGTAGGTTGTAATTCTTCCTTATTAGTCAAATACAGGTATCTATATTTAAAAATACTCTTATACAATATCTCATTATTTTAAAGGATCCCAAGTGTGACTAATAAGTGTTTAAAATAAGAGATAATATATTTGATAAGTACTGATGTTGTAATTTGTAAAGCACCACATTAATATAAGCTTTTTTTTTAGAGTAAAGTTCTTTAGTTAAAAATCTGACATTTTGGGACGCCCGGGTGGCTCAGTTGGTTAGGCATCTGCTTTCGACTCTAGTCCTGATCCCAGGGTCCTGAGATTGAGTCCCACAATGGGCTCCTTGCTTGGCGACGAGCCTGCTTCTCCCTCTGCCTCTGCTGCCACTCTGCCTGTTTGCATGCATGCTCCCCCCCCCCCGACTAATAAATAAATCTTAAAAAAAAAAAATCTGACTTTTTACTTTATAAGCTAGCTAGCAAGACAGATACAGATGCTGATACAATTTACTTCTTTTATTGTGTTCTTTCTCTTTACAGAGAAATGCTATTGTTTTTTCCACAGCAAACTTAAAAAGTAGTAAATGCATATTATTATTTATTACCTCTTCTCCTCTTTTTTTAAAGTGTCTATAAGGATATAAATGTCCAGATTGAGATAAGACTGATAAGCCCTGGGAACTGGATGGTCTCAGGCGACAAATCCTCTTCATTTATTCAACTGACCTCTCAGTTGTGGGATGCAGACAGAAGGCTCCCACCATCCCACCCCCACAACTAAAACATCAGACATCCCACAGTTTGGCTTTCACTCAAGTCATCTTCCTTTCTAAATGGCTGCTGAGATTTATTTCTCAAAGCTTGATTGCTCCTTGTGAGTAAAGAATTTTCTCCATGTAATATTTGCTCAATATTTATCAAGAAATAGAATCTGGAATTTTTTTTTTTTTTTTTAAGTAGGCTCCATGCCCAGTGTGGGGCTTGAACTCACAACCCTGAGATTAAGAGTCACGTGTTCTACTGACTGAGCCGATCAGGTGCCCTGAAATTTTTGTTTTCATAGAAAAAATTCAGAGCCAGTCTATAAAATAGTGGTTTTTAGCAAACTATTCGTCAGCTGCCAGAGTTGTAACTTAAAAAAAATCTTTGTTCTTTCGCTATAACGTGTGTTTTCTCACTTTAGGCAACAGAAGCAGCAATATACTAACCAACTTGCCAAGGAAACAGATAAGTACATTAAAGAGTTTGGCTCTCTGCCCACCACCCCCAGTGAACAGGTATCATGCCTTAAGACACATTGTTGATGTAGTGAATGTGAAAGAAATCACATACATTGTAGGGTCTTTGAACTGTTACTCTAGAAAGGAAATTAAGGGGGGAAAACTATATTTGAGATTAGTTCGCAGAACACAAAACTATATTTAATTGCCCATGTAGTATCCTGTGGTTCAATAAAGCAAAAATTATTTCCATGCAGTTGCCCTGACCCATAATTAAGCAAGTGCTCAGAAAATACTTCCTGAGTAATTGTTTCCTGGCCTTCCAGGGCTGACTCCATGTGACATGCACACTCATTCAAGATGTGAGGTTTCCTAGGGGCGCACATTTATTTCCTTGCTTATTATTTAGCGGAAGTTATTCCTTAGGTAAGAGCACAAGGTTTTATTTTCCTAAAAAGAAAACAAAAAGAACTACTTCAAAATAATGTCAAAGTCATGGCCCGGTTTTTAGGATGAAAATTTGAGGTGAGAAATCCAACATTATGGACCTTTTGCCTCAAGATAGCAAATACACATAGCATTTGAACATGTCAGAGTGTTAAATTGAGATTTAATCAGTAGGGCCCCATAATTGGAGAGTGAGTGAGAATTTCAGAATAAAATGAGGAGCCAACTAGTGGTGAAACAACTTTTGCGAATTCTGTAAAACTTTACGGCTTGATTCTAGTAGGTTTCTCCCCCTTTCCTCTAGCGTCAAAGGAAAATACAGAAGGATCGCTTAGTGGCTGAATTCACAACATCACTGACAAATTTTCAGAAGGTCCAGAGGCAAGCTGCAGAGAAAGAGAAAGAGTTTGTTGCTCGAGTAAGAGCCAGCTCCAGAGTGTCCGTAAGTATTTAATAAGGCATTAGAAAGTGACTATGGTGTTTCCTTGAAAGACTACATTAGCATTTTTCTAAGTCGTAAGGGTGTGTGACTATCTTGGAAATCAGTATTTGAATATTTACTTTCAGGTTTTTCAGCTCAGTTTTAAAAAGGATGATAGTTATATATTGCTGTGGAATCAAAGATTGCAGATTATTATACAATAATTTGGAAGCATTTTGTCAGAGAAGACTGGGGTCAGACCCAGAGTGATATTCCCACACTGATTTGTATTAGAGGCTGTCACTTTCTGTAGGGGCTCACGTAGGGAACACTTTACTCCTGGGTTATATGAAGATGATGAAAATGAACAGAGTCCATATATTTTGTGAATATTAATTATAACCCTGGGGAAAATAAACCAAAGGATAACTTTGGAGTGGAATTTTTAGTTAATCTAATTTTAAATTCCCTTTGAAACTATTGCAGGTTGTTTCCTTATTCCTTAATGCAGAGGCTCCAGGACTATAATACATTTTAATCAAATAATATTTATTATTTGGCCCTTGAGAATGTTTAATGAATTCCTTCCTTTTCAGGTTAGGATACAATTTTATTATTACTCGAAGCACTTGACCTAGAAAATGAGAACAAAAACATTTTTCTTTCTCTCCACACACACACACACACATACACACACACACACACACACAAATCAGTTTAGATTATTATAGAGAAAATGTGAGTGTTGGTGGTTTTTTGTTTTTGTTTTTGTATTTTTTGCCCCTTCTCAATCCATTCTATTACTAAATTTTCCAGGGTGGTTTTCCTGAGGATAGCTCCAAGGAAAGGAATCTTGTATCCTGGGAAAGGTAAGAAATACAAAACATGCAGAGCAAAAGATAATTTTTCAAATATATTTTATACATTTTGGTCCCTGGAATAAAAGGAAAGCTTTCGGCTTACTGTATCATGACTATCCTAGTTGTTTTTAAATAGGAAGCTATAAATTTTAATTTTTTTTTCAGAATAATTATTTATAAAGTCTATAAATACATAAAATATTCCAATATAGCAGTAATACTTTGTAAATAATTATTTACCCAAGTATATATGACTGACCTAATTATTATTTGATGCAGATTATTTCCTCCTGTGACGTTTGAGTCAACCAAAAAGGAACACCCAGTTGCCAAATATAGCTTCCCATAATTAAATAATAACTCTAAAAAAATCAATGAAATGAAACATGAATACTTTGACGAAAAGATATTCTATTTCATGTTTCTTGAATAAAGAAAGAAGTCCCATTAGTTTAATACCATTCCTTGTTTTTTCTCCCCATGTTCTGTTCTGTCTGTTAGCCAAGCTCAACCTCAGGTGCAGGTGCAGGATGAAGAAATCACAGAGGACGACCTCCGCCTTATTCAGGAGAGAGAATCTTCTATTAGGCAACTTGAAGTAAGCTTGATGTGGCAGTTGGATGGCTGCTCTGTTCTCTGCATGTCTGTCCTCAAGATGCTTAGACAGTTGTGGGGGAGGGGCCTGAGAAAGAAAACTAAATATATCCATGTGGTGGCATTTCGTATAAATGAGAATAATTCCCTTTTTAAAAATAAATCGTGTTAGAATTTGTGCTAAGATGAGAGAACATACCTCCCTCATCTCCAGCTTTTGTTTTTTTATCCTGTCAGATCATCTCAGGTCCTTAGCATGGAGAAAATCTCAGTCCAGATGTGTCTGCTCAGGGAGTCTGGATGGCTTCCAGAGCACACACTACAACTCAGAGCCACATGAATAACTTGACAGGGACTTTACAGGTCTTTTATTTCTCCGTAGTAGGTTGATTGTGTCAAAGAGAGTTGAAGGGTTAATAAGCATAAGTTCTTGTGGAACCTACCTATTCTCTAGAAGGCTTGTTGAGGGTTTTTAAGCACCATGTGATAAATTCTTTGCACTATCTCATTTCGTTCTCATAAAAACCATGAAGTAGTTAACTGTGTCATCATCATCACCATTTTATAGATGGGGAGACTAAGACACAGGATGAATATGTAAGTTTTTCCCCCCAATAGAATATTTAAACTTTACTCTTTAATTAGGCAAAATAATACTTATCATATATTAAAGAAAAGATAAGTTAAAAGTTGTTCATCACTATTCCATTGCATAATCAAATTTATTAATTAAAATTTATACTTAATGTTTTATACTTTTATAATGTCAAATTGATATGTAAGCTTTTACTAGAAATAAATCATAACAATGATATTTTATATGCTTACGAGGAAATACTATTGCTTGTGATAACAGAACTATCAGATTACATAAACAAAAACTCAGTGACCCAGGGCCATTCTCTGTTACAGATTCCTGGTTTCCATGCTGCCTCGTTTGGTATTTTTAATGTTATAAACTTAACTTTTAAGGAACTAGTTCCAGTTATTCAAGATCATCTTACTTAAGATTGCTTCTAATCACATCATTTCCTGATAGTTCCAAAATTTATATATTAAGCCTAGATATATTCTCACTTGTGTCTAAGTGGTGGTTTGGGGGTTTTTTTGGTGTGGGGGGGTTAATTTTCCCCTTTTGTGGATTGGGGCTGAATTTCTGATTATAGTAACATATGCCTCTTTCTCTCAGGCTGACATTATGGATATTAATGAAATATTTAAAGATTTGGGGATGATGATCCATGAACAAGGAGATGTGATAGGTAAGCCTCGCTGGGGTGGGATCACACTTCATGCAGTTTACCTGCTGTAATGTCTCAAGCAAGAGTGACCCCTGTCTCTCCAGGAACCCCTGGAATTAAAAGCACAGGCTCTACCAACAGACAAAGCATCACCTTTGGCATTATCTAAAACAGATCTTATCTTTGACTCCCACTGATTAAATCAACCAGCTTCATTTATTTGTGAAATGAATCTCACCAGAGTCTGTGGCCGCCAGGATCATGGAGGCGGCGTGCAGTCTCACTGCCGCCTGTTTGCTGGACCCCTGGTTTCCGTCTCAGCCCCTACCAGTTCTCGTCACACCAGCTACTTCCTGGGAAACCTGTGTTCTTTATAATTGTACATGCGACCTTGTCTTTTAGACCAGAGGGGATAGGTAGTCGTTTGGTGGTCATTTATTCCGGTGTCTTTTCAGTACAGTAATATAGTGGTATTACTTAGATGTGAAGCATTCTTTTACAAATTAAAAAAAAAAAAAAATCAGTGGCTAAGACTCCCTGTCAGTTTTAAATGGAGTAGCTCTTCTGTTTAGGTGTAACTGTCAGCCCTGACGAGTGTCCTGATCATTTTGATCATTTAGAAATACGAAGATCTCAGTGGACATGTCCAAAGATAGATTTCAGATTTTTCTGCATTTGAAAATATTCATTGAAATACTTGGATCTGTATTTTGCCATAGCTGTTACTTGTCCATTCTTACCCTTCTCTGTAGCCACAGTAGATCATAGGGTAAGATTTCAAAACCAATTCATTCGTTCATCCAGTACGTGTTTATTGAGTGCCTGCTGTACCCGGGCACAAATCTAGGCATTGGGGATTGAGCTGAAATTAAACAAGTGGTAAAAGACCCTGCCATCATGAACCTTGTAATCTAATTGGAGGAGAGAGAGAATTTTTACAAAAGGAAAGAAAAGTAAGTAAATGCCGATAAGTGCTCTCAGGAAAGTAAGGCAGGTAGTAGGATGGGGAATGTTACTGCTTTACTCGGGTGGTCAAGTAAGACCTTACTGACAGGTAACATTTTAGTGAAGACTTCTTGGAATTAAGGGAGCAAGTGAAAGAAAATTTTCCAGGTAAAGCAAACGGCAAGTGCAAAGGCCTTCAGGTGGAAGCAAGTCTGATATTTTTGGTAAGTGAAACGAGCAAGAGGGAGACAGAGATGACGTCATAAAGTTTGGCACCATGCAGGGCTCTGAGCCCCGGTGAGGACTTGCATTCCTATTACCAGATGGGAAGCCAAAAGAGGATTTGAGCAGAGGAGTGTTATCATCCAACTTGAGTTTTAATAGACTCACTTTGGCTGTGAGTTTGAGAGCAGACTGTAAAGGGACAAGACCAGAAGCAGAGAGACCTCTTCCAAGGTGATGGCAGGAGTCAGGGCGGGCAGCGTGTTGCCTCAGATCAGGATGGAAGCAGCGAAGCAGTGAGAAGTGATGGAATCCTGGACAGCTGTAAAATGCAGAGCCAAGAAGACTGGGTGACTGGCTGGATGTGGGTGTGAGAGGGAATTAATTCAAGGACAACTCGTAAGGGTGGGGACAAGCCCAGGGAAATGATGATGTTGCCATTTTCTGAGATGAGGCAATCAGGAACTGGAGGGGTCTGGAAGGACGGAGAGCAGCGACTTGGGGATATGTTAAGTGTGAGGTGCCATTTGAAATGAAGGAGGCTTGCTTGGCAGTCACAAATTCAAAGTGAAAGAAATCAATGTCGTTTTTGGGGTTTTTTTGGTACCCATGCTCAGCTGTGAGGAGGGAGGGTGCAGGTTGGGGTGTTGTCACAAAAGTCTGACCGAAGTAGGTGGCAAGGGAGCCGATGGTGAGTGCAAGAAAGCATGGTTCCGTGGTGTCCCAGGAGATCTAAGCTGGGTCAGGAGGAAGGTGAGAGCATGAAGTGTAGTGAGGGGCAATGAAAGGGTCAGTGGTAGGGGTCAGTAAAGTCAGGGTGTTGGAAAGAGCGTGCTAGACAGCAGATGATGCTCAGAGAGTGAGGTTTGAAACTGAGTTTATGGAGAAGTTGCAGTTTTCAGTAATGATGAGGCTTGGGATATGATCATGGAGGTGGGTGGCTGGGATGGGGAAACAGGCGAAGTCATTGAAAAAGTGTGGTCAAGGCACGGAGAAAGCAGGGTGTTAGCAGGTCAGCAGCTGGCTTGAGAAACTGGCAGTGTGTATAAGAGAAGCATTGAAGGGTCCATCAGTGAATCCAGAGCTAAAATATTCAAAGAATAAAGGAAAGGCCTTGCGTTCTACAAACGTCTGCTACAGGGGTTTGAAGGCATTTGCAAGCGTGAGCTTTAAGCTGAGTGTCGGTGGGGAGAAGGGAGAGGCCCTGGTCTCAGGCTGCAGGGTGCTACTGGTTCTCCCTCTCGGCCAAAGCAGGGAGGGAAGGGCAACTGTCGCCAATTAAGAAGGCTGCCTGAGCCCTCAGGGAGGGCTTGGTTTCAGCCCGCAAGTAGGTTGGTGATGACCATGAGCAAATGATGGTTTTCAAGACAGCGTTTACTCTCAGGAGCAGTTGTTAGATGTCTGGTGCTGCCTTGACCATGAGCACACAGACTGCATAATACTTTTTGGGGGTTACCAGGTAAAACTGGAATTGTGTCATAATAAGAGTGATCCAGTTTCTTTCCAAATATCTGTGTGTTGTTTGGATCGTTTGAAGAATGGTGTAGGGAAGACTCAGAGCCAGTTTAAAAAGAAATTCAGCTTTGCCGTATACTGCCAGCATTAACATTTGAATAGTGAACATGTTTGGTCTTATGTTGCATGAAGTCTTGTGACTTAGGCAGCTCTCTTACTGGGGCATCAACACACATCTAACAGCTGTGCGTGTGTGTGTGTTTTATTTTAAAGACAGCATAGAAGCCAACGTGGAGAATGCGGACGTGCACGTTCAGCAGGCAAACCAGCAGCTGTCAAGGGCAGCAGAGTATCAGGTAATATTAACCACAGTGAGTTATCTTGTAATTTAGGCTTTCCAACCTGTGTGTGTGTGTGTGTGTGTGAGAGAGAGAGAGAGAGAGAGAGAAAGAGATTGATCAGGTATAAAGTGGCGAGAGATGTTAAAATTTAAAATCCCATGGAAGACAGGTCAGAAATCTGCCAGTCCGTTTAAAACTGGGTTTAGCCTGTTTCCTGTTTGTTCTCAGGATCAGACCAGAATTGTGGCCCCAGGGATAGGAAGTTCAATGTCTAAACTCCTGAGAGGAGCGGTGGACAGACACCTTTAGGCATTTCTGGCAGTTGGCTGTTGATGCTATTGTGACCTTCCAAGCCAGAAACATCTTTGATAACTTTCTTCCTCTGTTTCTCTCACTGTTTCCTTCCACCTTTTCTTTCTTTTTTGTCCGTGGCACTCTTCAGTAAGAAGGCAAAGATCTGTGCTCTAGAGAGTTCTCATCAGGTCCTGTGGAACTTATATTCCCTTCAAGTGCCCTTGATCACCGGGTATCATAGGCATTCAGCAGACCCTTCACCAGGAATGAACTGATTTCTTCAGGGCATCAGGTTAATGTAGGGAGTCCGTATACGTGACAGATAGAAAGCATATCAGAGTACTACACAGATATTAGGACCGTGAACTATGCATATGGCATATGATATGTAGACAGTAAGAATGAGGCCAGGCTCTTTGGGAACCCCTAAATACGACCACAGCATTTGCTTTACCTCTTAACACTCCACTTTTTATAGTTGTTCATAATTATTTTCTCAGACCGTGTTGCCTTCTTCTAAAATACCTAAGATATTATCACAATCTTAGATATTTTCAATTTTTTTTCACTTTTCTCATTAACCTCAGAAGTCCCCTTTCATTTCAGTGCCATTTTTCCCTAGGCAAATCGCTGTGTACTTAGTGATACATGGAGAAGAGTGAAGTTGTATAGACACTGCTGAGTTACAGCTATCTGTCCTCAGTGAAGTAATAACGCTACTCACCTTGACCTTCTGTGTGCACGTGATTCAGGTGTGCAGCTCAGGATGATGTCACAGACCGTAGGGATCATTCATGAGTAATTGAACACACACACACACACACACACACACACACACACACGATAATCTATAAATCCCTGCAGTTACTCAAATGTAGTGTTTAGCAGGATTTATCAGTAACTAGGTTTACATGAATTTGTTTTGCTTTGGATTTGGGAGAGATGTAGATACATCTCCAAGTTTTACTTTTCCCCTTCCTTGGGGAAGGACAAACCCTACAGCTACCCTGGGGGAAAGGAGCTCATCTTTCCAAGCCCTACCTCCAGATCTGGAGCTGCCCAGTACTGAATCCCATGGACCCTGGAGGGATGAGGGAAGAGCCATTCAACATGAGTGCTGGAGAAAAAAGCAGCTTCCCTGTAGTTCTCCCTGGAAGTCTTGATAGTAAACTCATGCCTCTGCGAAATATGGTGCTTCTAAATAGTTTGTGTGATCCATGAGTGGAAGGGAAGCTGATCTGTACTCTTACCATTGCCATACCCTGGGACCTCACCATCCCACACAAGAGAGGGTGCCCTGGGTATGTGTCTACAGATCCCCTGGAGGAGGCCTCCGATTGTTCTTACAGGTGTATTACACATGTGTCTATGGGACTCAGGTGGCATCTGGGGAAAATATGTAGGCAAAATGACACTGAAACTCTAGGAAAGTTGTACTTCACATAATAAGGAATATTCCATTGAAAAAATTGCTGAGTATGTGGTATACTGAAAGTCCTCATAGTTTTCGGGAGAATTTCAGAGTCGGAAACCTATCTTTCCATAAATGTTATGGTACTATGTGTTGACAAAGAAAATTTACAAACTTTTCAACCTTGTAAGAAAAAGAATTCTGGGGTGCCTTGGTGTCTCAGTTGGTTAAGCATCTGCCTCCAGATCAGATCATGTGGGACCCACCCCCTCCTAGGGCTCGCTGCTTAGCTGGGAGCCTGCTTCTCTGGCTCCCTTTGCCCCTACCCCTGCTTATGCTCTCTTTTGCTTCTTTTTCTCTCTGTCAAGTAAATAAATAAAATCTTTAAAAAAGAGAGAGAAAGGATTCCTGCATGTTGCTGTGAGATACGCAAGCCCTTAAGGAAATGTGGACATCTGCTGGGCCAGAATGAAGAATGGAACAAAACTTTTAACCTCTATATTTTAAGTGACTGCGTTACAATTTTTTTTAGCTCTTTGTTTTTCATTTGTATGTTGAGATTTTAAATGCAGTTTCCACTAACATTTAAGAATGGGAATTTTGGGGGCGCCTGGGTGGCTCAGTGGGTTAAGCCGCTGCCTTCGGCTCAGGTCGTGATCTCAGAGTCCTGGGATCGAGCCCCGCATCGGGCTCTCTGCTCTCTAGGGGAGCCTGCTTCCTCCTCTCTCTCTGCCTGCTTGTGATCTCTCTGTCAAATAAAGAAATAAAATCTTTAAAAAAAAAAAAAAAAAAGAATGGGAATTTTGGAAACTAATAAATTTACTTCAGGAGAAATGCCCAAACATTTACACTTGCTGATATTTTCAGAGAACTCATTTTAAAGAGCTGCTCTTTGATAAGTTAGCTTTTAAGCTGTTCTTAGTTTTTATACAGAGGTCTACCTCAGTCTATTGCTTAAGTTGGTAATTTTCATTTCTCTGTGTCTCCTTTTGTAAGCCCGACCACACCCAGGAATATGACCAACAAAAAGGGAATAATTGGCCCCTGAATTATATCATTAATTCAGGAAGACTTTTTTTGAAAGAATAGTGCCACTTGTATTTGAAGAGATTTTTGAGAAGCAAAAAAAAAAAAAAAACCACAGCCCAAAATTTGAGGGCAGTTAATTACTATTGATTTTACTCTAGAAATGAGCAAGTGATTTTCAGTTGCTACAGACACTCCAGTACGCCTGTAAACATGGTTTTGTTTTTGCATCTGCAGCGCAAATCCAGAAAAACCCTGTGCATCATCATTTTCATCATTGTCATCGGAGTTGTAATTCTCGGTCTCATCATATGGAAAGTGAAAGGCTAAATTATAAAGGAGAGCGCTATTGCACTACATTCTCTAAATTATCTAGGAAGATTCCTGTAATCATGGGGCTTTTGTATTATTATTTTTAAGTTACTCCATAAAGGATGGCTCCCAGACTTCATTATTTTCCTTTGGGAGGAAATTTTCCTTTGGATTCAATCTGGTATTTCTAACACTGAAAGTTTTTCTCAGTATGACTGCTGGCATTACTTCCACACTTTGCAATCTAATAACTGTGAGGTTTTGTCCACATTGTAGATGCCTTTCACTTATAATTTATTTACCTGTTGACTTAGTTATTGGAATCAGTAAATGTAAAGGTGTGCATGTGTTTCATGGGCGTCTGTCTCTCACAGAGTGATGTATACCCAGATTTGGGTTCCTTCAATTAAAAATCTCAAATTTAATTTCGATTTGGGCCAGTAGAGGAAATATTCTCAATAATTAAAAAAAAAATTATCATACCTGTTTGTGGTGTTTAGTTTGTTTGTTTGTTTGTTTGTTTTCCCTGGTTCATAGCACAAATTACCTATTTAACTTTTCTTGTTGGTTTTCTCTTAAGACCCTTGTTTACTCTAAATGAAGTCAGTGAATAATTTCCTAGAGTATCTCATACTCCCGATGTGTATATATTAAGCATTTGCTGTAGTTTGCCTAGTAAAATACTAAGGATAGATTGTTTTTACATAGGCCCTGTGTAAGTCTGATGTTTGCTGGGGAATGTGTAGTCACTATAAATGTTTAATTTGAAGGAAGAGTATGAAAAATCCATACCTATTGCATTAGGAATCTGAAGACCCCACCTTGTTATTCTGTTGTGTACTTCCACAGCTATTACTGTGGAAAATTAATTACCTTAAGTCGCTTAGAGTAATGGCTACATGTGTATCCTTGGATCAGAATTACTTTGGGGAAGGAACTTTCCCAGAATTATTGTTTTTGAGCACTAACACTTAAAATTTAATGTTTACCTTGCATACCATTTTGTACCTTCCTTCATTAGAAAACAACTTGGATCTTTGCCAATTAACTCACTTGCTTTTTTAAATCAATGTTGTTTTAATGCACTAATCTGAATACTGTAAAGAGGATTATCTTAGTTTACAGTTTGTATTTTATAACGTTCTTACATAGCAGTTTGATAGTGAAGTCAGTGTTTTACATGGCAAAGCTATGAGACTTCAAATGGGAACAAATAAAATACTACATGAGTAAATTGTATCTTTGCAACCAAAATAAAGATGATTTTAAAAGTGTTTGGATATTTCTGTTTCATGAGGACCCTGCTTCTGTGGGACCAACACTTGACACAATCACACACAGCCCTTCTGTCTTTCTGGAGTACTGGTTTATTCAGTGTTTTATTTTGGCAATCTTAAAAGTTCTACTGCTAGCAGAAGCTGCCTTGCGTGTCAGCAAAATGCCATTTTTTTTTTATTTTCCACAAGAGACTGTAGAAAATTTTCTTGGGAGTTAGTGATTGGAAACTTTGAGGCTTGGTGTTTACCAAATTAGTCTGCTTTAGTGAACCAGACGGGCCAGGCCGGAAGAGGAATTTGTACAAATGCTACCAGTGCAAGCCCATCAGGCCTGATTGAACATGTTCTTTCTCTGTAAGAGCGCAGAGAAGCATGTGATAAACCAGTATCTTATAGCTACAGAAAACTCCTAGTGGTGCCCACGAATCAGTTCAGGGTTTTTTTTGCACAATTGTACTTGATAAAATGTTTATTCTTATACAGGCAAATGCACTTACTCTATCCACTTCATGATGAGTTCCCAATAATCGCAAAGCACTTAATTTTTTTTTTTTTTTGCATGATTTGGGCATCTTCATTTAAAGTGTAATATTTTATAAATTATTTTACCTGGGACACAAGTCAGTAATTAAAAACAAGAACTTTAGTGGCATGCATTCTTACAAGAAACATTGATTTTTGAAGGCAATTTTTACCCCAAAATATTTGGAACACAAAGAGTAGTCTTGATTTGAAAAAAATAAAAGTATAAAGCATAGCCACGGTAGCCAAGATTTTCAGGTTCTCGAAGTTCTCCTTTAGGCCACTTTTCGAATCACTTTGAAAGGTGAAGCTCACACTATGGAAAATAAAATTGAAGTTGTTTTTATGACAGCGAATTTGAATCAGCCCAACCGAGTCTCAAACTAAAGTTTCCCCATCACGCGACACATCTTGTTTATTTTAATGTGCTCCAAAGACCTTCTCGAACAGCGCAGGCTGAGATCAGCCAGGCTCTGTGTGGAAATTGAATGACAGTGTGGCATGAAGTGTCTGACTCCTGTCCGGATCATTAAATACAGAAATGTTTGGGTTTTGCACAACTACTGATGATAAAAAAATAACAGGTGCCATTTCAGCAATGAAGCTTGTTTGTTACTGGGCATAGGACCGGTTCTAGAAAACAGATGTGTGGGCACAGACAAAACTCGATCTAGGCCAGCAAACTGTGAAGGCGGCAGCCGGAGTCAGGCCTCCGAGCCCTCTGCATGCCCAGCATCATCGGCGGCGGCGTCTAACAACACCACGTCTCAGAGAGATTGCCATCGGCGCCTTCACCGTCGTCGCTGCTTTAAAAAAAATAATAACATTTTGTACACACAGAAAAACCATGTTTTGAATATCAATGTTTTTCAACAAATTTATAATGGAAAATGATTTTTGAAGACTTTTGTTCCACGAAATTAGTCTGTGCTTTAGCAAGGAAAGAGTAGAATAGTGTTTCTAGTTGGTGTAATTTTCGTTTCTGTGTGTAGAAAAAAGAACACAATAAAAGATAAAACGTGTCTAAAGAAAGACGTCCTTGTCCGCCTTAATGGGAAAGAACAATTTACAAAGGGAACATATTCAGCATTTATGTTTTTAAACTCAGAATGGACTGCTGTTTACACATGGTGACCAGGTTGCTGGACTAAAAATAAATTTCGGAAGGGGATAGAGTTTGGGCAAGTCATGAGTTAAATGGCGTTTTTGGTTCATTTAGATAGGATGACAGTTTCTCATTAGTGGTAAAGAACATCATCAGGCATCCTGCTTTCCTGGAGGGGAAAAAGCGGTGTATTTTCATGATTCACTTAAGAAAATGAAGCGCTTCCCTGTGGAGCCCAGACCTCTTCCCTCCACCCTAGGATTTGAACAGCTCGATGTCTCAAGTAAGGAAACACTTCACAAAACTTTCACCAGCAGCAGCCTGAAAGGACCTCACTGTACCACATCTCTGACAGAATGCATGACACCTCACGTTAACCCATTTTCTCATCATTGATATACTGTGTTAAAATGTCCGTTTTAGTCCTTTGTTTCGGTAATTATTTGGTTACCGTGCAAATGATGGGATAACTTATTTTTCTCCAAATAATCCTAATTTTAAATGCAGAGATGGAACTCAATAACTGACACACTAAATCGATTTTTATAGACACTGTTGCTTCTGGCAAGTTTTTAAGAGGTTGGTCACTTAATTACTCAGAGTGGGATTCCTGTAGGTTTTGTGTAGTGATGGCATTTCTGCTTAAAACGTAAGTGGTGGAAAGCAAAACCAGATTTCCTGTGCAGTCGTTCTATGCATAACACCCCTGCTTGTTTGAGAGGGAGTCAGCTAGAACTGAGCTGAGTCTTTAAATAAACTTGAAAGGGCGCTAATGCCCACTTTGGCAAACCCAAAGTACAGATTTTTAAGTGTTTACTGTAAGTACTGCTAGACAGTAGTTGCTGACTCCAAAACCTATTAGCCTTGATGGAAAACTTAGAAACGCAGTTAATCAGCCTCAATGAAGATTTCCCGACACTAATTTCAGTTTGTAATGCCTTCTGAAAGGTTCATACCAACTGTTCAACGGCAGATCTGAAATACTGAAGTCAGACCAGATAAAGACAGCCAAGTTTACATCTCTAGAAACAAGAGATTTTAACCCAGGAGTACAAGGGTACAAGCTTTTACTAACTTGCATAGCTGAAGACCTGATCATATAAAGCTTCCAGGTCAAAGCAGATTCTAATGTCAATAATGATTGTAGAAAAAAAAATTATAACTTAGTGGAGAATATTGTACTTGATCCTTCCAAACCCAGGTGCTATGGTCATTTTAAGTTCATTGAAAGGCATTTGCAGTATACCTGACCACATCTGACCTATTTCCAGTGCCAGACTTAATGTTTTAATCTTCCTAAAGGTTACCATAATTTTAACATTTAATTATTACTTTGTGGTGGGGCATATACCACAATTCAGTAAGGTAACCATCACATATCATTTAAATTAGTTCTGTCTTGGATGCAAAAGGATATTATTTGTTCTAAATTAGGACTTCCCTTGTGTCTTTTCCTGATCTTTTTTCTTAGTAATTTAGAAGTTGTCTATGTTACATTAAACTTCTCAAGCCTGAAATGGAGGCAACAGACCAATACTTACCTTTGGAATGGCATGGACGTTTAAAATAAAGAGCCCGTTTTATAAACTAAAACATGCTTAATGCTAAAAATTTATTTTTTTTTTAAGATTTTATTTATTTGAGAGAGAGCACTCATGTGGGCATGAGAAGGAAGTGGGGGTAGAGGGGAGAGGGAGAAGCAGGCTCCCAGCTGAGAAGGGAGCCCCATGTGGGGCTCAATCCCAGTATCCTAGGATCATAACCTGAACCGAAGGCAGATGCTTAACCAACTGAGCCCCAAATGCTAAAATTTTAAACTTTCATTTTGAGGTAACAGTAAATTCACATGCAATTGTAAAAACCAATCCAGAGATCCCTCTCATATACCCTTCACCCGGTTTATCCCAACTAGTAGCAAAACTACTACAATATCACCACCAGGATAATGACGTTGACAGTCAATGCACAGAACATTTCCATATACAACATTCAAACACAAAGACTCCTCCTGAAGCCCTTTTATGGCCACACCAACTTTGCTCCACACTCACCCCCTACTTCCAACCATCATGTGTTCTCCATTTTTATAATTGTTATTTCAGTAACATTGTATAACCGGGATCATACAGTTCATAAACTTTTGGGATAAGCTCTTTGCATTCAGCATAGTTCTCCGGAGATTCATACCACTTGCTGCAAGTGCATCTGCTTGTTCCCGAGTTTTTCAGAGCTGAGTGGCTTTCCGCAGTATGGATGGATCACAGTTTAACCCTTTGCCTGCTGAAGGATATCTGATCAGTTTGGGCTATTATGAATAAAGCTGTTTTCATTTGTGTACAGGTGTTTGTGTGAACATAGACTTCATTTCTCTGGGATAAATGCCCAGCCCTGAAATTGCTGAGTCATAGGACAGTTGAATATTTAGTTTTTAAGAAATTGCCAGACTTTTCCAGAGTGGCCATTCCGGTTTACATTCCCACCAGCAATGTTTGAATGATCCAGTTTCTTCACTTCCTTATCGGCATTTGGTGATGTCACAAAGTTTTAATTATTGTAATAGGTTTTATTCTATACTTCACCAATGGCTAATGATGTTGAACACATTTCCATGTGCTTATTTGGCACCTACGTTTCTTCTTCGGTGATATGTTTCTTCATGTCTTTTCCTCTTTTTCTAATTGGGTTGTTTATTTTTTCATTGTTGAGTTTTGAGTATATTTTTTAAAAATATGTATTCTAGAGACTAGTCCTTTGTCCAATATCTAAAATAATTTGCAAGTATTTCCTCCCACTCTCTAGCTTGTCTTCCTCCTAACAGGGTCTTTCACAGAGCAACAATTTTTCATTTTGATGGATGAAGTCCATTTTATCAATTTTGCCTTTTTATGGATCATGCTTTTGGTATCACAGACTCTTTGCTTAGCCCTAGATCACAAAGATTTTGACTTTTATCTTGTGTTCTTTTCTAAAAGTTCTGTGGTCTTACATTTTACTTTTAAGTCCATGATCCATTTAGAGTTAATTTTGTATGAAATGTGAGACTTACATCTAGGTTGGTTTTTTTTTGTTTTGTTTTTTGTGTTTTTTTTTGCCTTATGATGTTCAGTTGTTCCAATATCATGTTTGTTGTAAAGGCTTTCTTTCCTCTTTTGAATGGTTTTTGCTCCTCTGTTGAAAACAAGCTGGACAAGAATCAGTTGGACATATTTCTGTGGGTCTGTATCTGGGTCATCTGTTATATACCATTGATATATGTGTCTATACCTCCACCAATACCAGACAGTATTGATTTTTCCATTTTTTAAAAATATTTTATTTATTTGGGGGGGGTGGCTGGGCAAGCACAAGCAGGGGAAGGGCAGTGGGAGAGGGAGAAGC